ATATAACTACATATGGCTAGTGTAGGCTGTATTGAACTGTGCAGTTTCTAAGGAATTCAAAACTTACTTCAAAAGCAATGGAAAGACATGAGAGGCTCTGTAGTGGCAAAAATAATGTGATAAGAACTATATTTTTGAAAAGTGATACTGAAAGCAATGTTTAGAATGAATTGGAGTTGAGAGAAACTGGAAAGCTAAATGGCCAGATAGAAACTTGAAAAATCTGGATGTTAGGAACTGAGGACCTGAACTAGGGCAGTGATGTTATGAATAGAAGGAGTAGAAGTGATTGGGATACATCACAGAGGCAAAATCAATAGGACTTATGTGTTTTTATTTTACTATGATCCTATGTTTGTTGCTAACAGATAGATAACAATACCACTAACAAAAGAACCCAAGTAGTGGGGCAAAACCAAGCTAGTGTCAATAGAAATTCACTGATTAAAAATTCAGCAACATCATTATGTTCACCATAAATATGTATAATTATTATGTGTCAATTAAAAAATTAAATAAAGAAAAATATAATTCAGCTCATTTTGAATAATTTGTAAATTCAGGTGTATAAATCTCAGTTATAATCCCCAAAAATGGAAGCATTAATTTAAAAAAAAATAAAAAGCTTTCTTTACTTTCCAGTTTGGTCAAACAACAAGTCACAGGAACATCTGTAACCAATTCAAAATTGACATTAAATTGGGCCTGTTTCTAAGGCATAACATCATATGTGTATGTTTGTGTTTGTTTATATAAAAATATGTATAAACACACATGCACACACAATTTGAAAAACAACTGAAGATGGTATCAAGTCCACTGTGTTTCTCTTTCTTACAGAAAACCACCTGGGATAAGCAGGAACATGCTCTTTTTTTTAATGGGGGGAAATACATTTTTATTTTAAATTTACTTTTAAACAGTGAAACCCTTTCTATCACAACACAAGGAAGACTTCTCCCATATTGGCAACTGTTTTTATATGGTTGGCAGGTTTCAATGGGTCTGAACATGAATAAAATCCAGCTACTTCACAGGATGAAAAGCTCATGAACTTCCGCTTTTAAAAATTAAGTGGAAAATAACTGTCAGATGCAAGAAAGCCAAAGGGTGATTTAATATTTCATCAACAAAGAAGCCTTGACCCTTATTTGCACTATTAAAATCTTAATATAACAAAGTCATATAATGGGACAGTTAGAATTTAAAAGCAAATAAAATTCCTTGGCAGACTTGAGGATTTTTGCCATCTGTATCTTAAAGTAGGAGGAAACATAGTCTGTGTTCAGGCTCTGTAATAAGCATATTAAAGTCAAAGGTGCAGCTATATATCCCAAAGTAAGTAAAAAAGAAAAAAAAATGCCTGCAGGGCTCATGTTCTGAATAAAACTGTCTATATTTTGAGAAATTCTACTCTCTACAGATTTCTGCTAATGATTACAACAGCAGGAGATAGAGCCAATGAGACTCCAAGTAAATTGAAAAGCATGAATTTAAGAGAACATTCCAACACCCAGTAAAATGATATAGACTTACTCGGATTTCAATCTATATAACTAGTAGGACATATATTTAGACCATAACTATACATCCTTAAAGCATCACTCATTTGAGAGATTGACACATAAAGGCCACCCTCTATTGTTCTTCTTATGAAAAAGATGTGGTTATAATTATAAACAATAGTAATCATTTTATAGAAGCCTATATGTACCAGGATTTCAAATCTAAAACTGCTGAAAATTTTCAAAATGATAAATGATAATATTAATAAAAAGAAAGTATAGGTAGGAATATGTATAAAAGATGGCTTACTTCTTAATGGTAAATACTAGTCTGACAGGATAAGTATTATTTTGAATACTCAAATTTTCACTAAAATTCATTATCATATGGATATTATAATTTCTAATAATTAACTATAATAAAGTGTTCATGGCCCTATACTAGGATGCCAAGGGGGTTGGAAAAATCTTACCACTGTGACCATATTTATCCAAAAGTTCTGTATTAATCCAGATACTTTAAAATTTTTTCTCAAAAATCTTACCTGTTCATTACAATATTTTCACCTCTTTGTAAATAGAGTCAATATGCCCATTTTTTTTTTTGTACTTTCCTAGCCCATCTCATAACTTCACAGATAACTAGTTTGGAGCTAATGGAAGAGTGTGGAATCATTGAATCTGCTTTTAAAAAATAACTTCTGCGACAGAAGGTTGTAGCTTGCCTATTATAAACAAAGTTTTAAAGTAATGAAATGTATATATTCTAACACTATTATTAGCTTCACTGGAAATAAATATCTTCCTATGAATAAACTTTCAAAAAGATAATCACAGTCAAATGGTGTTGAGACAAGTAGTAATAAACTTCCCTGATGATCTTTTTTTTCTTTTCTTTGCCATACTCTCCTTATCTCACCCATCTAGTATATATACTAAAAAGCAAACAAGGAAGAAACAAAGTCTACTTACCTAAGCAAGTTGTCCTACAAAGACTCCCTATGCCTCACCACAAAATTCCCTAAATAGAAAGAAAATACATTACATTTAGCTAACATGTAAAATAACAGAAATAACTTTCAAAAGGACCATAAAAGCAAACAATTATACTTGAATCTGGATAAGGGAAAAATGTTCACAGGGAGAAATTTGGATGTAGTTTAAATTAGAGCAGGGCTCTTTCATTTATTTTAGAATTGGTGATATAATTCAAAATAAGTGACTTTGTCACTCTAAAGTTTGAAATTATATTTAAGAGGAGACATCAAAGGAAATGAAAAAAGTCAGAGTTCAGTTTATTTTTTAGCCCTTAACTTCCTAGCTTGCCCTTGAGTATGTTATTTAATGTCTCTGAGTGTCATAGGCTTCAATAAAATTATCATAGTTATATGTTTATCATAGTTATAAATTATCATAGCTATATATATAGCTAAGGCCCACTATTATAAATCTAAAATGAAGAAAATTAGCAAATTAAGCTGGCCACCAAGTTAACTTGAAAAAACAATGCATGATAATCATACGACGCACATTAAAGGAACAGAATTGCTCCTACCAAACACGACTTGATTACAACCTGAATATATTACCATTTCTAAAAAAGGAATGTATCAGTCAGAAAAGGGTTTAGTTGGTGATAGATGGCCAAAAAAGAAAAATTACAAGTAGAAACATTGGTACCAAAGGGTAGAAAAGATTTTTTTAAAGTACTAAAAAGAAAAAGATAAATAAAATTGACTAAATTTTAAAATAGAGAACTTCTGCTCATCGAAACACACAATAAAAGCAAGCAAACATAACTATTACATGAGAGATAATATTTATAGTACTTGTGATCAACAACAAATTCCTATCTACAATTATACCATAAGAAGAAAGACAAATAACAAGAATAGGCAATCAAGTTGAAAAATGGGAAAAACAGTTGAACTGGCAAAAAAGTTTATGTAAGTACAAATCTGATAAATTTATGAAAATATATACAATTTAATTGGTAATTAGGGAGATTTAAATTAAAACCACCATGGAACATACTGCACATCTATGAAATTATCAAATAACTAAAATTTTAGCCAATATCATTTGCTATGAAATATGTAAGAATAATGGGAACTTGCATAAACTGCTGATGAGAGGCATACTGCTACAACTGCTTTGAAAAACTATTTATCATCAACTAGTGAGCATATTTCTTACATAAGACTATGCAGTTATACTGGGACAGATATCCAAAAATGTTCATAGAATATGTTTGTGATAGCCAAAAATAGAATGTAACACATCCAAGCAACAAAAGCAAAATGTATTGTTAAGTTGTAGAGAAAAAAAACTACAGCCACCCTCAATGATATATATGATTATTAAGTATAACACAAAATGCCCAAATATACAAAACTATATTATTTTACTATATGAGAGGTAAAATTTTGAAGAAAAGCAAGGCAGTAACTCCCATGACGTCAGGACAATTCCAGTGAACAGGAATGAAATGAACCTAAAGGAAAACAGTGTAGTTCAGAAGTGCTGGGAATGTTTTATGTGTTGAAATGGCTGGTGACTACACAGGTGTTCACATTATAATTTTCAATCATGTTATATATTATGTATTATATGTTTTTGCACTTTTGTTGTATTTTACAATTTAAAAACATGTAGGGAGTTGGATAGTGGTCCACCAAAAGATAGTCCACCTGGAACATCAGAATGCAATCTTATTTGGAATAATGGTTTCTGCAGATGAAATTAAGATAAGAATCTCTGGATGAGATCATCCTGGACTAAGGTGAGTCCTAAATCAAATGACAAGTTTCTTTATAAGAGACAGAAAAAGCCTGAGAAACAGGGAAGAAGGCCATGTGAAGATGGAAATAGAGACTGGAGTTATGCTGTCACATGCCAAGGAAAACCTTGAGCCACAGAAGTTGGAAGAGGCAAGCAACGATCTTGCCCAGAAACTTTGGAGGGAACTCATACCTTGATTTTGGACTATTGGTGTTCACCACAGTGAAAAAATAAGCTTTTGTTTTTCATTTTTTAAGCCACCAAATTTGTGGTTAATTTGTAAAAGCCATCCTGGGAGACTAATACATGCATTTAGCAGACAATATTGTACAGTGAGTTCTTTAGATTTTGCTATGTGGAGTTGGCTTCAGTTACAATTCTGAGTCAACTATTTACAAGCCTTGAACAATTCATAATACCTTTTAACCTCAGTTCTGTCATTTGTAAAATGAGAATAATGTTATTAACCTCAAAGTGTTGCAGGAAAAGGTAAATAAAAGCATTAAAAGACTTCAATACACTAGCACATATTGAGGGCCCCAATAATTACATATATGTACATTTTCTCCCAACAAAGAGTCACAAATAATGGACTGTTCTTCAGGTAAGACCATCATATAAGGAGATGAATTTTAGATTAGATAATTTTAGCTGAAAATTGTAAATAAATAAAATTAGCTGAATTTGTAAAAGATTGAATTAAAGTAACTTGCCTTAGTCTCATTTCAGAACACCAAGCAACTGGTCCCAGCAGGGGCTTAACTACATGAAGTAGGGAGATTTCTCCAGTCACACAGATCTTTAACATTCTGGTCTCTGTTAGTCATTTACCACTGTATTTAAATAGATAACTGCTACTGTGCATCAGTCTTGCACTGTTGGTTTCAAGAAATGATAACAAGAGAAAAAGAAATAATCTCAATATATTCAAAGAATCAGGTTCTTAAGCCAAAATCTGGGTCACGAAAAATCCTTAATGAAGAACTTTTGGGAAAAAAATGACTGGCCAGTCCCCAAGATGAAACCAGATGCCTTTTCTATTCTGTAAACCTAGTTGAAACTCTGGTAGTATAATAGCATGGATCCAAAGAATAAAGTCACAAAAAAATGTAGAAGTCCATTGTATCTTTTTCATATTAACAAAATTAATTCTAATAAAAACATTACCCTAGTTGTTATAATTTTACTTTATTTTAAATTTTAAATGAGAGACCAAGCAAAATCATAAAGAATAAAATGTAAAACCTAAACTCCAGTTCCTTTTTATTATGCAACTTTTATAGTTAAATGAACATTAGAAATATGAAATCTACTAATTAATGAATTAGTAAATGTGATGATGATAATCATTTTCTCTCTTTCTGGATTTTGTTTCCTCCTTTTCTCCCATTACCCCTTCTTTCCAAGGCCTTCTCCCCACCATCACCTCATTCTCCCCCTTCTCTCCTGTCTTGGCCCCTCCTCTCATACTCCCACACTAGCACTGAGAACTCCTCACCCCTAGAAGCACACAGTTTCAGGGCCTGAGCAGAAGGCTAAGACTGGGCCACCCTCTCTGCTGTGGCTCACACATACAAGGAGTCCACAGAGTCTAACAGTAACTATACTCAAGAGATTCTAAAATCAGGAAAAAATAAACTAAGAGGAGAATCTTAGAGGTAAACATCAAACCGTGGTCATGCCAGGAAAAGAGCCAAGTCCAATTCTAAGTTGAAGTTGGTGCGCAGTGCGGTGAGACCTTCACACCATTTGGTCATGGGCCACTAGAAGCACAGGATATAAATCGATTGCACATCAGTGGCCTCTCTGGCAAGGAGGAGAAAAAATCCTCAAAAGAAGTCTCTGAAATGGAAGACAAGAACAAAAACAAAGTCTCAAGAAAGATGCTGTCTGAAGACCCCAGCCAAGAATACACCAGACTTCACTGGAATTTCTTGTAAATTCCATGAAATTCTTGTAAATACACTGAAAAAGAACCCAATGGACAGAGTAATGCTGCTAAGGTTAAAACACGAGTTTCTGAAATTTATTAATAACAATAAGCAGTTTAAGAAACTCCCTAAGATGACCTCCTTTCACCAAAGACTATTACACTGGGTAGCTGCTGATTCAGGGATGGACCACAATATTGATCAAACTGAAAAATCTATCATCATCAACAAAACCATGAACAAAAAGGTTCCCAAACAGAGGTTCTCAGGATACATACAGGATGAGAGGAATACAGAATTTCCACAGAGATTCATTTTCAAGAGAGACGATCCAGTCCAGACTGAGATTATAACCAGATTGGCCAGATTTCTAAATGACATCAGGAGGAAGCTCCAAGGGCTAAGCTGCCTTTAAAGCAGCCAAAAAGCAGCAGAGATGTGAATTTGAATACCTGAAGCCACAGCTTTGAATAAGGTGACACCCTGTCATCAAAGCCGGCAGCTTTGGTGGAATCTCTATCCTCAACTGGTGAAAGCATTGGGAGCAGTAAAGGTGGCAGTGCAGGAAGGATCTCCAGGCCAGGTATGGTGCTAGTTAGTTGCTCCAGAAACGTGCAACCAGGTCACCTCATCCATGTCTGTCCAGGACCTTCTCCCCTGTACTGAGCAGCAGCAGCAACTTCCTGCCCCCCACCCATGTTTCAGCAATAGCCACCTTGAATATTCACAAGATCTCACAGGCAAATGACTTCAGCAGCTCCTTTAGAAAGTGAAGCCTTAACAGTCAAGATTCACCTGAAGCTGCTGACCCATCCTCAGCCCTGTTGCAGGCCCCACTTATCTCTCAACATCCTCAGCAGACAAGCTCCATCATGGCACAGCCCTCTCAGCTCCAGCTGTTCCATCTCTAGCCTTATCAGAAAGTTCTGCCATTCCAGGGCTACATGCAGCCCCCTCAACAGATCCATATTTATTACTAATCCCTAGGATAATAGCCTAATTACAACCAGCAAAATGGATCTCTCTCTCTCTCTCTCTCTCTCTCTCTCTCTCTCTCTCACCCCAGAGCCTACAGCTTCCATATGGTCAGCAGCTGCCTTAGTCACCCCAGAAGCCTAGTTCACAGCCTACGATGCCTAAGCAGGAGCAAGAGGCTTACCAAGGTTTGACTGGGGTCCAGCAGCCCCAGATTCAGGGCCTGGAGATTCACTATGCTCCACTGCCTTCTTACCAAGTCCCAGTGGATAATGACTTGCAAAGTGCAGACCAGCCACCTTTCCAGCAACCCATGCTAGTCTATGTGAGCTAGTCTGTACAAGAGTGCCTCCCAGCAGGAAGGCATACCAGTATACTACAGCATGATCCCACTTGCTCTCAGTATGAGCCTTTTGTGGGGATTCTGCCTCAGTCTCCCTCTCCCTCTATCCACCAGAAATGTCACAGCAGTACTAAGGAATGCCACCTTCTGGACCAGGTGTGGAGGTTAAGCAGCTGAATGTCTCTAATAGACATCAGCGCGCTCCTTTTCCCAGAACCTATCCACAGTCCAGTGAAGTCACTATAAATATTACAATATGGACCAGCAGCGGGCAGAAGGCTGGAGGCTGGAGTCTTGTACAATCCTCACAGCCCCCCAGGCCAAAACATAAATGAGCAGTAGACCCATCACATCTCCTTCTAGTCAGTACCCATCACCCTCACAAAGGGTGACAAGAGTCACATCCTTAGCAACTTCTACACAGATCTCGGTCTGCTCATTCAACACAGTTGCCCCAGGCTGGGGGTCTAACAGAGGGTGATGGGCTATCCTCTCTCTTGGGCCAGTCCATCTGTCCTCCCTTGCTCTGTGGCCAGTCAACTTACATGGTACACCAGGGACAGACTGGACTGAAGCATTGAAAGTGGGACAAGAGACAAGTGCTGAAATCTGCCTACACTGACCTGGGACGGCAGACATTTGATCTAATTTCCTGGTAAAACTGTTTTGAAATTTGTTACCATTAAAAAGGTTTTTTCCCATTCCATTAAAAGCTTACTTATATATTCTTCATTCAAACTAACACCATCTATTCACTTTCACTGAGCTCCTTAACTTACTAACTAAAAAAATAAATAACTAAAAAATAGATGGTAGTAAATTAGATGTAGAGTTAAGAATAAAGATTGAGATTCTGAGTTGATGAGTTGAGACAGGAGCCTAGGTGTAATTCTCAGCTCTAGAATTTAGCAGCTCTGTGTCTTAATTTAGGTTATTTAACCTTTCAGGCCTAAGTTTTTGCACTTATGAAGATGATAATAATACCCACAGCAAAGGGTTAGTGCACATAAAATCATTCAGTCTAGAGAATCACCACATAGCATCACTTAATAAATATTAATTGATTAGCAGCCTCAGCACGTCTTCTATTTCTGACTCACCTCTTTCTGGTTTCACTTTATTCTCCCACAAACCCTAAACTTCTGAGCTATTGTCCTGTCTCTCTCATTTTGCATCCAAGCTTCTTGAAGGATTTGTGTCTACTTCTCTTTAGTTTGTCATCTGCATTCATTGCTCAACCTACAAAAACATGATTTAAAAATAAGGCTTTAACATACTTAGTTTGATTCATATATTAATACATCTACATTTCAAAATGCAATCTATGTGCCAGTGAATTTATAAGTGGCAAGTGCATACTCCTTCCTCCATTCCCTTATTTTTATTTAAATATATAATGCCAGGTTTTAGCCTGTCAAATTAACACAGAGAATAAAAGACTACATTCCCAGGGCTTCTCTGTAGCTTGGTGAGATACACCTAAATCTGGCCAAAGAGATGAAAACAGAATGGTGCTAGAGGGTGGCTAAGTCTCTTTATAAGGAAAGAGAAATGCCTTCTTCCTTTCTTCCTCCATTTTGCTACTGGAGATGATACTGTCATGAAGTATTTACATCAGAAATTTTGATCTCAAGGGAGGAGTTCCAAACCATGGTATGCAGAGTGGAAGGAGCACAGATAACTGTGTAGAGCTCAAATCAGCTTAAATGCCTTCCACTAGGCTCTTTCTCCTAGAGTGAAATAAATTTCTACTTTGCTTAAGCACCTGCGATATGGCAGTATTCTGTTCTGTGTAGTTAAGCTAATTTGATCCGTTCTATATTTTTGACCCAAACATCTCTGATGAGCTTCAGTCTTATATGACAGGATGTTATTTAATATTTCAAAAGATCTCCAAGATTAACCTGTCTGAAACCAAATTCAACATTTGTCTCTCCCAAACTATTCTTTCTTATATTTTATATCTCGATTAACAATGCCAGTATCTGCCCACCAATTCAAAACTAGATGCTTCAACTCTCATTTGTAATATAAAATGGCCAAAAATACTAACACCAAATAACTTCTGAATTCATTTCCTTCTTGAGTGTTAGCACCATTGCAATAGTATGTTCTTCTTATCTCTATCTCGATTACAGCAATTTAATGGTACATAACAATATGCTTATTGAATTTTATACATTTGAGTAGGACATTTTATGATACTGGTCAATGATATTAATATTTTGATAGGCAACAGCAATGTCTAAAATGCCTGTACAATAACAGTGGCAATTATTCTAGCAATAGGCTAAACATAGATTGCAATACTACTGATAGGCTATCTCATCCATTAACATTTTTTAATATTTGGAATTGAGTACTACAGAAAATCAATTAAATGCTCTGATATGTTTAGTCATATTTCTTTATTGACTAAGAAATTCAATCAGTACATAAATATATTCATTTTCAATCAATTTTATCCCAGCGGAGGAAAGACCAGATTTGAATTACATAGCTAGCCAGTAATCATTTCCTCACAAGAACATTTTGCTATCTCTGCTAATGCAAAGTGTCACTAATGTGGTATCACTAAAACAAAATAATAAAATTTTTGCATTACAGAATAGTTTTACAAAATTGAAGTTGCATTATTTGAGTTCTGGTTGAACATAGTTTTTCTCTGTTGCCTCTCCAAACAGCATTCAAGTGACAAGTGAATGACTGCAAAACACACATACACACACACTCACACACATGCACACACACAAATACAAGAGAAGAATAAAATACCACAGATTAGATATGTCAGGAAAGTTTTTGGTAAAAGGATGGATACATGGTAACTGACACAGTATAATGAAGAAAGCCAATGCTAAAGTGACCTCAAGGGAAAAACAACAGAAAGCAAGCCAAAACCCTCCTTGAAGATCACCGAATTACTCAGAAGTTGGAGCTACTGAGAAATTGTAAAGAACTACCAAAGCAGGTGGAATAAGACTGAAAATTGGGGGATTTGTTGAAAGACAGGATAGATGATTTCTTTGATCTTTTTTAACTTTCCTACCAATCCTAAAAGTACCTCTCTCTCCTCAGCACATTGACTTTATGGAGATACGAAGCAAAAGAGGCTTTTAAACTTGGGTCACCAGCCATAGCTGACAGGAGTAGAGGGAAATCGGGAGCCAAATAAAAACAAGAAGATTCACATGAAAGTCTGCATAGTCAAAAATGGAATTCCCCAACCTATTTTCTATGCATACCTGCAGGGAGGATCAGAAGATTCTGCTCTATGAAAATTAGTTGAGAATAAATTAATGCTAGCCAGTGATACTGAAGAAGTCTCAACTGAGTGAATCCCCTTACTATGAGCTACACCCACCATTTGCAAGCCTATCCATGCACACTGAGCATCCAATCCACTTTTTTACTCTGAGCACTAAATCAACATTTTAGTTCAGCATTTAAAACTGAATGGATGGTGAATAAGCAGCACATATAAAGCAATCCTCTAAATGAAAAACAGAGAAAAAAATCAATAAACAGAAAATAGGATCTTGGAAGAAAGAGGAGAAATATAAAAGGGTAATAATTCAAAACAAAATATTATTTTTTAGAGATATAAAATAAGATAATGCATCCATAAAATCACAATGAGATTATTAAAAAAGTAAATCCAGAGTAAAAGAAAGAACTCTTAGGAATTAAATACTGTGTATGATAACAGACATAAAAATATGGATATAAAAGGGTTGGAAGATCAAATTGAGAATAAATTTTAGAAACCACAAAAATCTCTGGCCGGGCGCGGTGGCTCACGCCTGTAATCCTAGCTCTCTGGGAGGCCGAGGTGGGCAGATGGCTCGAGGTCAGGAGTTCAAAACCAGCCTGAGCAAGAGTGAGACCCCGTCTCTACTATAAATACAAAGAAATTAAATGGCCAACTGATATATATATAAAAAATTAGCCGGGCATCGTGGCACATGCCTGGAGTCCCAGCTACTCGGGAGGCTGAGGCAGCAGGATCGCTTGAGCCCAGGAGTTTGAGGTTGCTGTGAGCTAGGCTGACGCACGGCACTCACTCTAGCCTGGACAACAAAGCGAGACTCTGTCTCAAAAAAAAAAAAAAATCTCTAAGAGATGGAAAATAGACAAAAAAAAGGTAAAAAAAATTAAGGCACTTATTTAATTTTTAAAAACTTCAAGGAAAAAAATCAAAGTAAATTAAAAAAAGGAAATTATCAAAGAAAAAAATCAAAATATTTCCAAAGTCTGAAATATATTTATTTTTCAGAATGCAAAAAGGACTGCTGAGTACTCAGCCTAGTGAAATGTCTTTTTTTTGTTTTCTGTTTTCTGAGTGAGTAGCACACAGATTGTATCCTTTTGAAATTTTAGAAGATAAAAGATAAAGAGATGATCCTAAAATCTTTTGGAGAGATAACCAAGCACCACAGTTCACATTACACAGACCTGAATTTAGAATCAGAATACCATAAGATTTTTCAAGAGAAATCCTGGAAGCCTGACGCAATGGGATAACTTCAATATCTGGAAGAATATTAATTTCTAAACTAGAATTCTATTTTCAGCCAAATAGATTGTTCAATAATACTTTCCAAAATTGTAGAATCTCAAGTGTAATTCACATGATCCCTTTCTCATACATTTCTGGAGGACATGTTTATCTATAATTAAGGAATAATCTAAAAGGAAGATAAGTGAAAGACTGAACACAAGAGAAAGGTAAAAGGAATGTCTGAGAGGATGGTGCAGAGAAGTTCAGGACTGGCAGCTGTGTAGCTGACCTAGAAATCAGTTGTTGCAGAATGGGATAAGAAGCTGGCAGGGGAAAAAAAAGAACCCAGAAGATTACCTGATCTATTTGTACTGAGAGGATTTTATAGTGTTTCTGGAGTGTTGGAGTGACAGATATATACAATTAAACATATGATAAAACAAGTTATTAACTCCAGATAAAAAGAGTTGCACAATTTTATTAATCCTCTCATTTGATGGGCACTTGGGTTGTTTCCACATCTTTGCAATTGTGAATTGTGCTGCTGTAAACATTCGAATGCAGATGTCTTTATTATAGAATGTCTTTTTTTTTTCCTTTGGGTAGATGCCTAGTAGTCGGATTGCTGAATCAAATGGTATTTCTATTTTTAGCTCTTTGAGATGTCTCCAAATTACTTTCTACAGGGGTTGTACTAATTTGTAGTCCCACTGCCAGCATTTGTTGTTTGGGGACTTTTAGATAAAGGCTATTCTCACTGGAGTTAGGTGATATATCTCATTGTGGTTTTGATTTGCATTTCCCTAATGATTAGAGATGTTGAGCACTTTTTTTTTTGTATGTTTGCTGGCCATTATTCTGTCTTCTTTTGAGAAGTTTCTGTTCACGTATACCATGAACAGAAAAAGACATTCTATAAAAAAGACATCTGCACTAGAATGTTTATAGGAGCACAATTCACAATGGCAAAGATGTGGAAACAACCCAAGTGCCCATAAATACATGAGTGGATTAATAAAATGTGGTATATGTATACTATGGAGTTCTACTCAGCCACAAAAAACAATGGTGAACTAACACCTCTTATATTATGCTGGATAGAGCTTGAGCCCATCCTTCGAAGTAAGGTATGACAAGAATAAAAAAACCAGCACCACATGTACTCGCCATCAAATTGTTACTGATCAACACTAAGGTGCTCACATGGTAGTAATATTCACTGGGTCCCAGTCAGGTGGGAAGGGGGTGGTGGGGTGAGTAAACTCACAACTAATGGATGCAGAGCACACTGTATGGGGGAAGGGCACACCTGTAGTCCTGGCTTGGGCAAGGCAAAGGCATTATATGTAACCAAAATGTTTGTGCCCCAATAATATTCTGAAAAAAAAAATCAGTTGCACAAGAAAGCAACTATATTCAAAGTATACTATTTAGCTCAGATAAAAGTAAATTTACATACTCATAATCATGTAAACACTGAATAATGTTTTAACCAAAATTTATAATAAAACTCTATTGGGATGATGCAGGTTAAAGTAGCATGTTTTTAAATGTATGAATAGATAGTTAAAAGAGCTCCTACTCTGGGACATTTACAGATATATTCTAAAATAGAAAAATCAAGAAATAGAAATACCAATATACTATTTAGATATGTAGATACAAATATCAGAATAAACAGCTTACACAGTTGAAAGTTCTTGCCTCTAGAAACTGGGCATCTTAAATAGGGAAGGTA